TCGGTGGGGTTAGGGGTGCAGAACCGTGTGCCTCGGGCTTCCCCGCCCGGACCTGTGGACAGCAGCCCCATCCGCCCCTAGGCAGGGCCCAGTGGGCCAGGGAAGGCGCCTTTTCCCTGGGCAGCTGGAGAAGCAGAGTTGGGGGGATGCAGAGGGGAGTTGTAGGCCGTCCCTCATCCTCTCCCTTTCCCTCCTGGGGAGGGGTCTTCCCCAGGCAAGTGCACCCGAGGTTGCCAGGGAGGGGACGGGAAAAGGCGAGGCCCGAGGCAAGGGAGTGATAGGTGCCAGGATGCCACTCCTGGGAGGCGGGCGTGAGGGCAGAGGTCGCCCCTCCCTGGCCAGGCCCGAGGAGGAACCCGAGGAGCTGCTGACGGCTTGTTGCTGGGAGGCAGTGTCCTGCGGGGCTCCGCGTTCGCCCTCGGCTCCTCGGGGTAGAGCGGCGAGGAGTGAACACCGGTGCCAGAGATCGGGGGAGCAGTGTGGAGCGTGGAGGCGGGACGGGAGGGGGCAGTGCCCACAAGGGGTGCAGTATTCGAGAGCTGCTAGCACCCGAGTAGAAAGAAGGTAGAAGGGGCAGCGTGCCCAGCCTGCAGGGACTCGGAGGGCAGTGCCCAGGAGAGAGTAGTGTGTGTGGGGGGCGAGCGGGACCAAGTCGAAGGGACAGTGTAGGCTTTTCTCTTCCCCATAGTGACATCATGGCAAATTCCCAAACCGGACCGACCCGGCTCGGGTGTCATCCAGCAGGGCCGGGCTGGCCTCGACCGGCTCGGGGTGCCTTGCTGCCAGCTGGAGGGTCTGAGCATCAGGCCCTGCGGCTCAGCGCTCTGGGGGCGGAGTTCTGCTTCACCCGCCCCCGGCGCGGACTGTGCCCTAGGCGGGCACGCAGACAGGCAGGGTAGGGCTAGGGCCGGGCTTCTGTGGGCCAAGGATCAAGGTCCCTGCCGGGGTAGGCCCCCACGCATTCCAATCTTCCGGACCCAGACTCTGAAGAGGGCGCAGTGGAGCCCCAGAGAAGAGCGGGACAGCGCACACCACCTCCGCGGGAGGTGGGGCCTGTAACATCCCCGCCCTGGGCGGAGTCATCAGGTCCTGGGACCCGCCCGCCACGCGCGAGCTTCTCCGAAGCAGTCTGTAAGGGCGGAAGTGAAGAAGCCCGAGAGGAAGGCGGCGACGGAAGTGGCTGCACTACTGGCACTCGGGGCGCGTGCGCCATTCTGCTCCCTGGCTGCGAGTCTTCGGCGACTTCTGCAGCTTTCTCAGCGCGAGGGTCGGGGTCGGGCGCTGCTGCTGCTTTCCTGGCCCCTTCGCGATGGCGGGTATCCTGTTTGAGGATATTTTCGATGTGAAAGACATTGACCCGGAAGGCAAGAAGTTTGACCGAGGTAAGCGGGGAGTTGGGGCGCGCCCCTGGGCCGCTTGTGTCCGCGCTCACGTGGCGGGGCGACCTCCCGCTGCAGACATCGTGTGGACGAGAAAACCGGGACCCCGAGCTGGTGCCTGGGTGGACTTTAGCTATGGTGCCGCCAAGCTCCCGGGCATCTTGTAATCGCTGCCTACGCTGTGCGCGATTTGCACACTTTGCCATATGCCTTTCAGGGCCCCTGTGACAGTTTTGTTCCCGAGGAGTTAAATAACCTCTCCTCGACCACACAGGTGGGGCTTGGGATGTAGTGCAGTGGTACGCATCGCTTGCCTAACCTGCGCGAGGCCCTAGATTAAAGAGAAAAACGCGGGCTGGGGATTTAGCTCAGCGGCACAGCGCGAGGTCGTGAGTTCGATTCCCGGTACCGGAAAAAAAAAAAAAGGCAAAAAACCAAAACAAAAAAGAGAAGGAGAAAAACAGACCCTGTGAGTTATCCGACTTCCTAACCTGTATTCTCGTATTGTCTCCCAAATCTTTAAACTCCTTGTGAAGTCCTCTCTGAGTTAGAGCTACTGGTTTGTATACAAGGGGTCTGAGTGTATCAAAAAGTTTTACACAGTAAAAGACATATCCGCTGTTAATCACTGTCAGGATACTCTCTCTGAACGCCTTGTCCCGATGTTCTTGCCGCTTTCTGAAGCAGGCCGGGTAGTCATGTTTGTCGGGTGGCTTTATGAGGTGTGATGAATGCTGCAGCAGAGGGCCACCCGGCCAAAAGGCAGGCTGGTGAAAACAGCGTGTCTTCCTCCACCGGATCTGGCGCTGTGGGACATCTGGCTTTTCCCCAAAGTGAAAATGACCATGAAAGGTAAACGTTTTGAATCAATTCAGGACATGGAGAGACAGCCACAGTAGAGCAACTAAAGACACAAAAGAGGACTTCACAACTGCTTCACAAAGTATCGGGAACAATGGGCTAAGTGTTTGGAGTGAGGGGGAATATTTTGAGGGGGGTTAATGGCAATGTGTCTCTTACTGTAATAAAGTTTTGATTTTTTTTTTTTGTCTTTTTGAGACAAGGTCTCATTATGTAGTTCAGGCTGGCCTTGAGTTCATTATGTAGCCTGGGCTGGTCTCGAACTCACTGAAATCTTATCTCGGCATCCCTAGTGCTGGGATTATAGGTACAGCTCCTGGCCCAGACCTCAGTATTTAAACATCCTCATAATCTCTTTATGATAGTGTCTAGTACAAAAAATGGTGCTGGGTATGGAGGTGCACACCTTCAATCCCAGCACTCTGGGAGGCTGAGGCAGGAGGCTTGCCAGGAGTTCAAGGCCAACCTGGGCTATAAATTGAGTTCAAGGCCAGCCTGAACTGCATAGTGAAACTCTGTTTCAAAAAGACCAAAAAAAAGTTCATTGCACTTAATCCCCCAACTTCCCTGGGCCTGGTGTTATGCCTGTCATTCTCTTTGTACTTCTCCCTAGTATCTCGACTGCACTGTGAGAGTGAATCTTTCAAGATGGACCTCATCTTAGATGTAAACATTCAGATCTATCCTGTAGACTTGGGTAAGTATTAAGCCCAGACAACAGCAAGTTTTTTTAACCTCTTCATAATTTCAGCCCTTCACCCTGAGATACTACCGTTATTTTTAGGTGACAAGTTCCGGTTGGTTATAGCTAGTACCTTGTATGAAGATGGTACTCTTGATGATGGTGAATACAACCCCACAGACGACAGGCCTTCCAGGTATGCAAGTGGAGAAGGGGATGAAGCATGCCCTGAAGATTAAGTAACTAAGTGGTAGAGGAAAACCATTATTTATTTATTTATTTATGTGTGTGTGTGTTTGTTTGTTTATTTATTTATTTTAGGCAGGATCTTGCTGTGTAGTTCAGGCTGGCCTTGAACTCATTATGTAGCCTAGTCAGGTCTTGAACTCATGACCATCATCCTGCCTTAGGTCCCCAAGTGCCGGGATTATAGGCGTGCCCCACCACACCCGGCTATTACTGTTTTTTGTGTATTTTTTGCTGTTTTGTGGTGCTGGGGATAAAGACCAGGACCTCATTCATGTGCTCTGCCATTGAGCTGTATCCCTAGGCCTAGAAAAACCTTTGTTTAATTCCTGAAATAAATAATTATTAGCAGGATTTGAATAACCTTAAGGAAATTGTTACAGTTAAGAAATCAAACAACTAGGAAGGTGGGAAGGAGGGAAATAGAAGGAGAAGTAAAAAGAAGGTGTTATGTACATGTATCAATTCCTCACAATGAATGTCATTTTTTTTCTTTTTTGAGACAGGGTTTCACTATGTAGTTCAGGCTGGCCTTGAACTCACTTTGTAGCCCAGGCTGGCCTTGAACTTCCGCAGCAGTCAATCCTGCCTCAGCCTCCTAAGTGCTGGGATTAGAGGCGTGTGCCATGCCCGACCATTGTGGCCCGAAATGTCATTATTATGGTATGCAAACGTGCTAATAATAAATTTTAAAAACAAAAAACAAAAGGAGAAATCAAGGAACCAGATATTTATTGAGAGAATTGATAGCATGCTTGTAAATAGCAGCTTTTTGAAGGTTGAGGAAATGGCCCTTGAGTGACCCAGGCTATGTGGCCAAGCTCACAAGATTGCTATGAGGACTAATGTTTTTAAGTTACCTGTTATTCTAATGCTGGCACTTACTTGCTAGTTACTGTTTTATTTTTTATTTATGTGTTAAAATGTTCTTCTTTTGTTATACTGGTAATTGAATCCTGCAGGGTCTCATACTTGCTAGGCAAGCACTCTAATCCACAACTCTTTTTAAAAATTTTTATTTTGGCTAGGTGTGGTGGGGATGCCTGTAATCCCAGCACTAGGGAGGCTGAGGCAGGTGGATCGTTCCGTGTTTGAGACCAGCCTGGGCTACAGAGTGAGCTTAAGGCCAGCCTGAACTGCATAGCAAGACCCTGTCTCAAAAAGACCAAAAAAAAAAAAATTATTCTGAGGCAAGGCCTTGCTAAATTGCCCAGTCTGGCCTTGAACTTGTGATCCTCCTGCCTTAGCCTCCTGAGAAGCTGGGATTATAGGCATGAGTCAGCCTGCCCAGCTCTGTTACCGTTCGTAAAGGGCCTCTTAACACTGTTTAATTATTACGAAGTATAACTTTGCTCAATTTTTCCACAGGGCTGACCAGTTTGAGTATGTCATGTATGGGAAAGTATACAAGATCGAGGGCGATGAAACATCTACTGAAGCAGCAACACGCCTGTAAGTTCCATAGTCTGGTGAGAATCCTTTTCCTCTCCCTGTCCTGAAACTTCGGGCCATGCTCCTGTTTCTACACTGGGTCCCTCTGAAGCACCTCAGTGTAGGCAGGACCGAAAAAGGAACTGCTCCTGGACAGTTTCCATTCTGAAATACTGGCTGCTCCCCCTGATGCTTTGTCAGGGTCTCAGGTGATCTTGCTGTGTAAAGTGCCGAGGCCAATTTCTCTGGGAACTGCCTGCAGCATTAAGTGATTAAACTGCTAAGCTTTTTTGTTTTTGTTTATTGGTGTGTGTGCTTTGCTACTCTGTAACTCAATCTCTACTTCTTTGGTTTCCCTGCCCAACTATTTTTTTCTTCTCTATAACATTTTATTGAAACAATATGTGTTCTTTGTAAGAAATTGAAAAGCAGAGAAACAATGCAAAAAAGGAAAAAGTTACCTATAATTCCATACCCAGAGGGAACTTCGTGCATAAACATTTTTGAATATCCTAGGTCTTTTTTAATAAGCGAAGGGTTCCCGTACATTAGGTAAGCACTCTGTCATTGAGCTGCACTCCCATGTCTTTTTATTTTGAGACAGGGTTTTGCTAAGTTGCCCAAGCTGGCCTCAGACTTGTGATCTTCCTGTCTCAGCCTTTAGAATAGTTGGAATTACAGGTGTGTGCCCCATGTCCAGTATTCTAATTTTTTTGTCTTTTTCTTTGCGATCATGTTCATTCCAGTGTTTTCTATTTTCGCTTAATGTTTATAAGACATATTTCCCTGTGTTAGTAAAGCTTTTCCTAGACATTTTAGTAGCTGTGCAACAGTGCAGTAAATAGATCTATCACAATTCATTGAACCATTCCCCTAGTTTTGGGTGCGTTGTTTTCATTGAACCATTCCCCTAGTTTTGGGTGCGTTGTTTTGCTCATGTAAAACACCACTTTGCACACGTCTGTGCATTCACCTTGTCTGAATTTTTAGCTCTTAATGACAGCCTCTGGAGCGTGCCTCCCTTCTTTCTCACACGGGGATGGAAAGCCACGGGGTGGCAGCTGCTTCAGAGCTCACACAGCGTGCGATCTGTTTCAGCTCTGCCTATGTGTCCTACGGGGGCCTCCTCATGAGGCTACAGGGTGATGCCAACAACCTGCACGGCTTTGAGGTGGATTCCAGAGTTTATCTACTGATGAAGAAACTGGCCTTCTGAACCTCGTGGGAAGCCAGCTTCGCTGCTGGGTCGCTCGGGTCATGGACACTGAAGCCTGAGCAGAAGTTGCTGGGTCCCTGTGGAGGAGGGACTGGCTCTGTTCACGGCGGTGCGTCTTCACCAAGCCTGGACTCAGGGAGATTGACTTGGCCAATGGAAGACCCAGTGGGCGCACCGAAAATGAATCAGAAGTCATTTTGTGGATATGATTTTTTTTTAAATTAAAATCTCGCTTTTTCAGACGGGTTCCTTCCCCTTTCTTTAAAAAATTTCCATTTTCTTTAAAATAATTTTTTTTCCAATTTGTGACAGGGTCGGTCCTGGGCTTTTGGTATCTGGGTTTAGGGTTATCTCCATCTCCGGGCTGACTCTTCCCAGCATTTATCCTCCGGTGTAGTTTTGGATCCGGGAGAAAGTGTTGTGCTTTAGCTCCTGTGGACAGTACCCCAGGCCCGGAAGATACCACCCATCTGGCACAGAGTTTTGGACTGGCGCGGAGCCCTGCTCATGTCCTTCCAGCACTTTCAGCCTCTTAGGAGTCAGTTCACGTTGTTGTGAGTGAGTCACTCGAGTAGCCTGGAAATGTTCGTTTTTATGGAAGCTTTGGGTGGAGGCTTTTAGACATGGGTATGGACTCTGACTGATGAAAGGAGGAAGAGAGGACTTGGAGGCTCTGGAGGCAGGTGGAGGAGCTGTCTCTGCTCTGCACTCCTGGGGTGACCTGGGAGGAGGCGAAGTGGTGGTGGTTCTTACTGGTGACACCAGATTTGGGGGGAGCTGCTGCATAGGCCAGTGAAGTGGACAAGACAGCAATACCAATGAGGTTGGCAGGCCGGTGCCCGCCAGGACAATGCCCCAGCCTGACCGTAGTCACTAACTTACAAGTGGGAGAAGAAACAGGGAGGTGGTGGTCACAAGGACTCTGGCGTGTGAGTTGGCCCTTCAGCCCGGCCGGCATCTGATTCTCTGGGAAAGTCAAGGTAATAACTCAGAGAGAGTATCTGTACTAAGCACTTGTCTCTTCATATCCTGGCTCTGCTTCTGGAGCGGATGCTCCTGCTGGGGTGCCTGTGGTGTTTCCTTCCCCATCATTTTCAGGTCTTCACAGGAGGTGTTAGAAATAGTATTTAGGGAAATGGATTGAAAATGAACGGCCTCAGCAGGGAGGAGGAAAGGTGTTGCTTTTACCTTAGCACGGGTGCTGGTCGGAGGGGTAGGTGATTTGGTGGGGGTTGGTATGAGTGTTTATGGACTCCTGGAGCAGAGCTTTTCCATGGTCACGTGTTTTGAGCGCTTGGAGGAGGATGGGTTTGGATTAAGTGTGAGAGTGTAATTGCCAGTAATAATTACAGGCTATCACAGCAGATTTAGGCTGACCTAGGGTAACAAAAGAAAGAACTGGTATAAAGTAGACTAGGGATGAGTGTTCTGATGGTACTTGGTGTGTGTTTGTGTGTGTGTGTGAGGGAAGAAGGGATGGAATTGCCCAGATGGAATGATTTGGAAATGGATGAGATTGGTTTTTTTCGGTTCTTGGGGATTGAATTCAGGGTCCCACACATCCCCCAGCCACAGGTTAGACGATGATGAGTTTTTTTGTTTTTGATGGTAGGGCTCAAACCCAGGGCCTCACAGCTCTCAGCTACCGAACTACATCCTCAACCCAGTTTGATTCTTAATAGGGGCAGATTCAGTCACACTGAAGAAGCCAAGAATTCATTTGCTTGTGCCCTGAACTGGAGTAAGTCAGGCACTGCTGTCAGATGCCCAGAACTATCTGCCTACATTTGCAGTTTTGCAACCCTGCCTCATCTAACTGTACTGAGAACCTATAATTCTTTGGTCTCTGACATATCTTGTTCTGGGTGTTGGCTCTTTCTACCTTGTGAAGTGTTTCATTTGATAATTTTTTTCAATGGTTACATTTAAGCTGCTACTTCAATAGTTCAGTAAGTTACATTTTGCAGTTACCATTCCCTTAACTTCATACTAGAATTTGTAGTGTAAGTGAACTAATTTTTTCCTATTGACCCCATCTGAGATTTGGAGACCATTTTGAGCTTTGCGTATCTGTTTCTTTTGTTTGCTTTGTGTTTTCTTCAGTGCTGGGGATTGAACAGGGCCTCACAGGCTAGGCAGTTGTTATGCCACTGAGCTATGCCCCCAGCTCTGTGCATTTGTTGATTCCTTCTCCCTAGTAACTGTTCTGCCCATGGAGAGAGAGGACACCTGGAGATGTCCAAATTGGCCACCCCCACCAAGAGCTTTGGTTTTCTGCTCAGAACTCGTTAGTAGTTGGTGGGTTATTCCCTAGAGATTTGGCAGTATCCCAGTAGTCAGAATCCATGAATGATCGGGTACCACACTGGGTAAGAGTGTGGGCTTGAGAGTGAGTCTGACAAGATATTTTCCTGCTTAGAGGCTGCATGACCACCTGGAACTCACTTGGCTTCTGTGAGCCTCAGTTTCCTCATCTGTAAACTAGAAACGGTAATACCTACCTTACAAAGTTGTGTGTGCATTGAAAAGGGAATATGCATATGGTTCCTGATGTTCACCCAGCTGTTTTGGGGTGATTGTAGGGGTCCTGGGATATTTGAGGCAGTGTTTGGAACTCTGGGTTCCTGGATCCTCTACTTACGTGGTAGCCTTTCGTCCTTTGGGGTTTGGGAGAGGGAAGGTCTCCCACTCGGTTCCTACAGGAACTCTGGAGGTAGCCAGCTGACTTGGCAGTGGAAGTTTTGCACCAAGCAGCATTTACTTGGAGAGCTTCAGAAGGCTCTCTTGCTTAGGGATCCCCTAGCGGCGTCTGTGGTGGTCACACAAGGCTGCATTTTGCATGCACTCTTCGGGATGGGGAAGCGAGCCTTCAACTTGTTCTTGTGCCTGTCCTCCTGCTGTGTCAGCTCAAGGAGCCTGCGGCAGGCCACGTCCTGCTCTTCCCCTGACCTCCACAGGAGGGGGCTGGAGCCCAGGCCCAGCAGAGCCTCCTGCTGAGCTGGTGAAGTGCCTGCTGTTTGCTCAGCTGCTGCATGCGGGTCTTCTCTTTACCAAAAGGTCTGCAGAGCCTTACCTGGGGTGTGAGGCTCTCCAAGGCTTCCTGTTAGCCTTTCTGGGAGGGGGTGGGCGAGGGGGGGGCTGGAATCTATTTCCCCCTGTGAAGAACATCTTTCTCTTGCGTTTTGGTTAGCTTTTGGGTACTCTGATTTATTCTTTCCCAAGCTCAGTTTTGTATATTTATATAGGGACAGCCTTTCTGATCGACACCTGTTACTCATTTATCAAGAGGAAGGATCTCAAAAATAGAGGAGCGGACTGAGTTCCACCAAGAATGATGGTGAAGGGGAACAGGGCATTTTAGAAGGCCTTAAACTTGAAGCAAAGGAAGTTACACTTTCCGTTTTCTGACACAAGGTTAATCTACCTCTATTCAAGGACCAGGCAGGCCAGGCCAAGCCTTTGTAGTGTTACCATGAAAAAGAGCACATCGATAATTAGTGATTTGCAAAATTACACAGAAAACACCAAAGATAACTAGCTGCTCTGATGAATACATATTGTCAATAGCTTAAAAAAAAATATCTCTGTCCTGGGCCTCCCCCTCTGCCAGCGCTTCGGCTTGCAGGTAAAAGCAGGGCATCGGGTAGAGCTGCAGGTGCCGGGCAGAGCCCTCCCGTGTGGCTGTGCGTGGGCACCTTACCCTTCCTGAGATGCATTCTGGGAGTGAGGGTGGGATGTGGGTAGCGGAGGGCTGCTGGAGTTGGCTGTCACAGAAGGGTCAGGAAGCAGGGGGTGGAGCTGGACCACAGGTGTGGGCAAGGTGGGCGAAGGAGAGAAGAGTGTGCACTGCCCAGCAGGAGGAGCGGCTGGGGAAGCAGAGTATCCGGGCTGGAGGTGGGGTGGCCGGAAGCCTGTGTCCAAAGTTCCAGGTGGAATGGCTGGAACTTCCAGGGCCCTGGCTGAAGCTCCAGGAAGGAGTCCATGAGTTCCGTTCAAGGGTCTTGGTGTCCTGTCCAGGTGTCCAGGGCTTCGGTCTGAAGACCTGGAAGTCTGATTCAGCAGACCAGGAATCTTGGCTGCGAATCCCTGCCGTCTGTTCAGAAGTCCAGAGCCAGTAGTTCTGGCTGAGACGCTGGAGTTCGTCTCCAGCAACGCAGAAGTCCTGTTTGGGAGCTTGTTTAGTGTGAGCAACAGAGAGGGACTGCTTGGGACAGCGGTGGTGGGCAGGGCCCGCCTGGCGCAGAGGGTGGGCCCTCCTACAAGCAGCAGGAAACGCACCTTTCCTCGGAGGAGCTGCTGGAAGCTCAGGAAGATGGCGTTGGGGTCCTTGTGAGCTGTGGTCCTGCCCTGTGGAGGAAGCTGAGGGCAGAGGATGGGCCTGAGGCCAGAGACCACGCCCAGACTCCGGCCTCCCCTGACTGTAGGAAGACGGGCGCCAGCACCTAGGCTTTGTGGTTGGGAGGGAGCACGCCTTGGTGGGTGGACTCCTCTATCCTCACCGTCCTGGGTCCCCCTTCTCCCCTCAGGTCTCCTAGGGGGACTGAGGTGGAGGACAGCTTCTACAGGTTCCTTAACTGGGGACTTACCTGGGTCCCCAGGAGGCCCTGCAGGGCCCCAAGGAGGAGGCGGACCTGTCCAGAAAGCTGTCCCAGGAGGGATGAGAGGCACGTGGGTCCCAGCTGTCCCCGCGCTGCCATCACTCCCTCCAGTAGAAGGGTCACCGCTCCTAGAATGTCCTGTGCTTTGGTCTGCTCCTGGGAAAGAGATGGAGAGGAGAAGCGGGCTGCTTCAAAGGGCGTGCTAATAGCGGGTGGGGAGCCCGGAGGGGCAGCCAGCAGGATGAATCATAGGAGCTGAGAACTGGACAGGACCGGGGTCCCGCCCAGCACAGGAATTCCTTCACAGCCTCCCGACAACTGGTCACTGGCCTCTGCTTCAGTAACTCCAGCGTCCACAGCCCAGATGGTCTCCCACTGACTTCAGCTCATGGTTTCAGTGCCGCCCGTCTATTCTCTCTGCTACAGAACCTTAGGACCACAGCATTTTAAAACCAAGACTAGATGTTACTGTAGTGGGACTTACTCGTAAGTGGCAGAAGTGGAATAGAAGCAAGCCATAGGTGCTGCCCTTCCCCCTGACCCAGTGCCCCAGCAGACGCGAGGGAAGGAGGAAGATTCTGGGAATCATGGCAGTAACAACAGTTGATCTGGGTCCCAAGGGAGAGTAGTTCTTGCTGTACACAGAGTCTAACCAGTTAGGTTTGTGGCTCTGTTTCTCTGACCATCCCTCATCCTACGTGCTTTCTAGCCTCTTGTTCAGGTGTTTCATTCTGGACACATGCAGTTTAATATGGTCCCCTTAATAAATCAGCGTGTGTCTTGAGGGGGAATGTCCAGTAGTCAGACCCGTACTCCTAAGTATAGTCCACTCAGAACAGAGTTCTAGCTGGGTGTGGTGGCGCAGGTCTGTAATCCCAGTACTCTGGGAGGCTGAGGCAGGAGGATTTTGAGTTTGAATTTAGGCTGAGCAGTTTAACAATTTAGCAAGACCTTGTCTCAGATTAAAAGTAACATGTGGACTAGGGATGTTGGTCAGTATAAAGGCTCTTGGTTCAATCCCCAATACAAAAAAACAAAAAACAAAAAACAACAAAAAAGAGAATAGAATTCTATAAGAATTTTTCTATAATGTGGATGCTAAATTTCTAAAGCAGTCCAGAATTGTCAGCTTTAAAAATAACTGCTTCACAGTCTATATGTGCATCAACTGATGAATGGATAAAGAAAATGTGATATCTATACATAATGGAGTACTATTCTGCCATAAAGAATAAACTTGAGGCATTTGTAGGAAAATGGATACAACTTGATTGTTTTTGAGACAGGGTCTTGCTATGTAGCCCTGGCTACTCACTTCCTATGACAGGCTACCCACTATGTAGCCCCACACTCACAGTGATCCTCTTGCCTCAGCCTTCTGAGTGCTGGTATTATAGCATGTGCTACCACACCCAGCTTAATGGATGTACTTTGAGACCATAATGTTAGGTGAAATAAATCAGACACACAGTTTAAATATAGCGTAGTTTGTCTTATATGAGAAACCCAAAATATAAAGATCCAAGTAAACAGTAATAGGAAGATAGATGTTTTGCAAATGGGAAGGGGACCAGGAGATGGGGAGGGAGCGGGTGCCGAGGGGAGGGCAAGGGGATGAGAAAGAAGTGATATGCACATGCGGCAACTCCCCACGAGGAATGCGATCATTATGTACTACAAATGTGTAGTAATAAAAATAACAGTTAAGAAAATAGCTGTAGGCCAGGGATATAACTCAATGGCACAGTGCCTGCCTTACAAGCACAAGGTCATGAGTTCGATTTCTGGTACCACCAAAAAAAAAAAAGCTGCTTCAGGGCTGGGGGTGCAGCTCAGTGGTAGAGTGCTTGCCTAGCACGCACAAGGCCTTGGGTTTGATCCCCAGCACTGCAAAAAGAAATAAATAAAAATAAGAGCTGCTTTGATAACATTACACACTATGTTTGGATCTATTCCGCACTCTCAAATCTTTTTCCTGCAGCTGGAAGCTTGAATAAGGGCCATCGTGAGCTGAAAGCTGGAAGAAAAGTTTACTCAGTTTACACCTGTAGAATTAATAACATACACATCTCTGTTAAATTTCACCTTGAAATTTCATTCCTCTTGCTTCTAGCTTTTGTTATTTTAGTGGTACATCCCAGCTTCATGTCATCTGTAGATATTTATACTCAGTCTTAGCCCTTCATGCCAGTTTAAGAAGGTTGAAGGGGCAGAGGTCCAAGGCATGGGCACAAGAGTTCTGTTCAGCTCCGCGTGTGTTCCACCTCAAGTCTGCTTAACATATTAGGCCCAAGCCCATCTTGTCTAGGGGTTAGCATCGTAGGTGGACGTAGGTTGGGTTTGGCTGGCCAAGCAGAAGGTGAGATAGTTGTAGGGAGTTCAAAAATTTAGAAGAATCAATGGTAAGCAAGAGGGGCTTGGTAATGACAAGACTTACAGAAGCCAATGTAAGGGACAGTTTTCTTTTTTCCCCTCCCTCCATC